CTACATTTGCTTAGTTCTAGACTCGTCAGGATGAGTTCCAGCGCTAGCAGTAGGCAATCCAGCAGCAGCAGGCCATGCATCAGCAGCAGATCCTCATGCAGCAGCAGCTTCTTAGATTTATGCAGCATGTAGTGACAGCCATTGGAGCTCCACTGTCACAGCCTTCGCCCTAGCTTGGTTAGCCTGCCACCACTTCCACGACTCCAGCATTATAGCCTAGTGGGCTTCAGAGTCAGGGACAGCCACCAGCACAGTTTGCTTCACCTATAGAGCAGGTGTCCCAGTGGTTTACTACATCACTGCCAGCCCTGCAGTTCACACCGTTTCGTATGGGCTTCACACCGGTAGAGACGTCCTCGCTGCTAGTACCAGAGACCTCAGTTTCCAGGAGCCTTGGTGAATCCTTCAGTGAGTTGATAGGGCACCCTACACCGCCAAATCTACATATCCCTATCCCTACCATCATTGCTCTACTGACAGGCACGACAGAGACGCTCTCTTCCTTAGTGGCATCATCAGAGCCAACTGCTTCAGTCGTACCAACACAGTCTTCAGTAGCTCCAGTCCTTGATCTGACCCAGACTGCTTCAGCATCACTTCCAGCTTTAGAGGGTCAGACAGCTCAGAGCTCAGGGTCAGATGATGACAGCACTCAGTTCCAGCTTGCTCCTCGTACTTTAGCGCCCGGCTCGTCCGCTGCAGCCCCGCCGACCGACCCTTATGTTTTGGTGTTTGACGCCAAAGGGGGAGAGGATTCGAGTATGTTAGCCTTAGGGGGAGCGACATATTTAGGGAGAGCTCAGTTATTATATTAGCTTATATATTACATTTGGGGTTTTTATGTGTGATACACTATTATGCATTCATCATGTGTTTACTCTTATGCATTACAACTGTATTTATGTGATAGTGATATCTACGTGATCGTGATATATGACATGCGTGCTCTCTATTTTGAATTATTTGTATGTCATATCACTTGTGCTATGCTCATTTGCTTTTGCTTCCGCGCTGATGCAAATGAGCTTTATTACTTATACTCATGCTTATTTCATATCTTTTGAGTACATCATGTTGGCTTGGGTCATATAAGCTTGCCTAACTATTTTGTTCTTATCGACAAAAGCTTATATGATCCAAGCATGTTAAAAACCTCAACTCATTCACATACTCGAGGTGGTATTGTCATCAATCACCAAAAAGGGGAGATTGAAAGCATCTAGGCCCCTAGTTGGGTTTCGGTGATTAATGACAATCCAAGATTACTATGACTAACGTGTGTTTTACAGAGGCAATTAAGTTAGGTCATGGTAATGGAGATCGATTGGGCAATCAAGGTGGTCATGCCCCTACGATGGAAATCGTTTCAGTTTTCAAAGGATGGACAACAAGGTTAAGGATAGACTAGTTCTAAGTGTCAATTGGAGTTGAAGAGACACTAAGAGTAGTTTAGGACTTTGTTTTTTCCTTTGGCCATACTATTAAGGGTGGTATGGACAGGTAGCTTGACCTAGATGAGTCTAGTGAGTTAGGTGTGATGCACACTTATTGAAACTAGCACTAGGTAGCTCCAAAATAGCCCTTAGATCCAATGGAGCAAACTTCATTCACATATGATCGAGAGTTGGAAGTGAATAGAGGGTCAAATACTGACCGGACGCTGGCTCAGGGTCTGGTCAGTTTATTTGACCAAGGTGAAAACGTTCGGTGTGACCGGATGCTGAGAGGTCAAGTGACCGGACGCTGAGAGACAGCGTCCGGTCGACTCCAGTAAGGTTCCAGAGAGGTAAAATCGCGACCGGACGCGTTCGGTCAATGCTGATCGGACGCTGCCCAGCGTCCGGTCACACTATAAACACTAGAACTCGGGGTGTACTGACCGGAGCGTCCGGTCAACATGACCGGAGCGTCCAGTCACCCTATAGAGGCACATAATGGTTTGTTTTTCAGCCCATGTTATAAATACTCCATCCACACATGTGTGGGGATATTTTTGGTCATTCCAACGGCCGAGAAACACGTTTGAGAGTGCCAAGAAGAGTAAGGTCCTAGTGAGGTGATTGAGATTTGAGAATTCCAAAGAGAGCCCTCATTAGTGAGATCAAGAGTAGCAAAGTGTGCATCCACCCATCTCATTAGGCTTGTCGTGGTCAAGTGAGAGTTCGTGCTTGTTACTCTTGGTGATCGCCATCACTTAGATGGCTTAGTGGTGATTGGGAGCTTGGTGATCATCCGGAGAGTTTGTGGATAACCCAACTCACATTGTGAGCGGTTGTGGATGATTCACCGCGATGGAGTGTCGAAGAATCAACCCGTAGAGAGCACTTGATTCTTACACGGATCAAGGGAGAGCTACACCCTTGCGCGGGTGCTCCAACGAGGAGTAGTGGGGAGTGACGACTCTCTGATACCTCGACAAAACATCACCGCATTTCCTCTCATCTCTATTTACTTTGAGCAATTCAATTCTTGATCTTACATTCATAAGATTTCCATGCTAGAGTAGGATTGGAACTTAGGTTGCAAGTCTTTTGTGCATTAGTTCAATAGAAATGCTTTCTAGCCACAAGGGGTTAAATGGGCTAACCGTAGGACTTAATTATTGCAAAGAAATTTAGAATTAGCCCAATTCACCCTTCTCTTGGGCATATTGATCCTTTCAGCTTGATGAGTTATACAACTTTTATGTACATCACTTTTACAGTTAAAATCATTTAGTGGTTGAAAAATCAGGTTTGACGTTGTTATTTTCTAAAATTCAAAATTTGAATTATCCAAAATTAGTGACAAAGATAGATGACCAGACTAAAATGATAGAGCATGATTTTAGAAAATTTTAGGAAAAAAACCATCACATTTAGAGTTAGTTTGAGGAAGAAAAACTAGTTACAAGTTTCAGCCACAGATTAAAAAGAGAAATCACACTTGTTAATCATTGATCATCATGAACAGTTATGATTTTTCTTTTTAATCTCTGGGTAAAATTTGTAACTAGTCTTTCTCCCTCATACTAACTCTAAATGTGATGATTTTTTTCCTAAAATTTTCTAAAATCATGCCCTATTAAGTTAATATGTTGATTTGGTCATTCTTTTTGTTTGACAAAGTTTGTGCAATTCAAATTTTCAAATTTTAAAAAATGATAAGTTCTAACAAGATTTTGAAATACCAAATGATTTCAGCTGAAAAGTGATGAATACCAAAGATGTATAACTCATAAAGATCTACAACTTTTATTTTAGTTATTTCTTCATTTGATAAAGTGATAGTAAACATTATTCACAAATCAACATGTCTCTCATATAGTTCATGAAACTATAAGTGATATGCGAATTTGTGAACAATATTTACTAATACTTTGACAAATGAAGAAGTGACCAAAATAAAAGTTATAGGTAGTGATGAGTTCAACAACTTTTATGTTCACGACTTTTGTAGTTGAAATCATTTAAGGTTTCAAAATCTTATTTGAAGTTGACATTTATTGAAATTCAAAATTTGAATTGTCCAAATTTGGTCAAATGAAAAGATGGCCAAAACAAAAGTTGTAGATAGTGATGTGTTCAACAACTTTTATGTTCATCACCTTTACATAGCTGAAATCATTTAGTGATTGAAAATTAGGTTTGAAATTGTTATTTTCTAAAATTCAAAATTTAAATTTACCAAAATTAGTAACAAAGATAGATGACCAGACTAAAATGACAGAGCATGATTTTAGAAAATTTTAGGAAAAAAATCATCACATTTGGAGTTAGTATGAAGGAGAAAAACTAGTTACAAGTTTGAGCCACAGATTAAAAAGAGAAATCACACTTGTTCATCGTTGATTATCATGAACAGTTGTGATTTTTCTTTTTAATCTCTGGGTAAAATTTATAACTAGTCTTTCTTTCTCATACTAACTCCAAATGTGATGATTTTTTTTCTAAAATTTTCTAAAATCATGCCCTATCAAGTTACTGTATTGATTTAGTCATTCTTTTCGTTTGACAAAGTTTGAGCAATTCAATTTTTTAAATTTAAAAGATGACAAGTTCTAACAAAATTTTGAAACACCAAATGATTTAAGCTGAAAAAGTGATGAATACTAAAGATGTATAACTCATTAAGATCTACAACTTTTATTTTGATTATTTTTTCATCTAACAAAGTAATAGTAAACATTGTTCAGAAATCAACATGTATCTCATATAGTTCATGAAACTGTGAGTGATATGTGAATTTGTGAACAATGTTTATTGATACTTTGTCAAATGAAGAAGTGACCAAATAAAAGTTGTAGATAGTGATGAGTTCAACAACTTTTATGTTCACGACCTTTGTAGTTGAAATCATTTAAGGTTTCAAAATCTTATTTGAAGTTGATATTTATTGAAACTTAAAATCTGAACTGTCCAAATTTGGTCAAATGAAAAGATGACCAAAATAAAAGTTGTAGATAGTGATGTGTTCAACAACTTTTATGTTCATGACTTTCTTATTTGAAATAATTTAAGGTTTCAAAATCTTATTTCAAGTAGACATTTATTGAAATTCAAAATTTAAACTGTTCAAATTTGATCAAATGAAAAGATGATCAAAATATTAGTTATACATCTTGATGAGTTCTACAACTTTGATGTTTACAAAATTTTCATGTAAGGTCATTTAGTGGAGATGAAATTGTTTTAAATTTTAAATTTTCAATTTTTAAAATATTCTTTTTGTAAAGAACAATATATATAATTATATCTATATATATATCATGAAATTGTTTTTATATATTTTTATTTATACATATATAGAATAATAAAAAAAGTATTATATAAATTTACATTGTGTTCTTTATATATAAATTACAAAATTATTAATTAAATTAAATTAATAAATATTTGTAAGGACGGCTTACCCAGGAACCGCCCCTACAAATCGATTTGTAGGGGCGGTCGGTGTTTTAAGCCGCCCCTACAAATCACGCCGACTATATATGCCGCCGCGCGCCCAGGGCTGACATTTGGCTAAGTCCTAGGCGCAAATCTTTTCACCGACGCCAGCAGGCTGCCAAATCTTCCCGCCGCCGCCTCCTTGACCTTTCCACCGTGGACACGCTCCGCGAAGCCGTCGCCCCGACGCTGGCGCCCGATCTCCTCACCCTCGGGCCGGAGCTCGACATCCCCAGGCTGTGACGGTGCTGCCCCATCTCCACGACGGCTAGGGTTTGAGAGGCCAAGGCCGATCGGCCCACCGCCGCCCCATCTCCGACCTCGACCTCCGTTGCTGCGACCTCCGTCCCTCGACTCTGTCCTTGAGGTCTCTCGGCCCGCTACCACGCCGTTCCAGCGTCGCCGTACGGTGTTCTTCCTCTAACCTGGAGAGCCGTCGCCGCTCGTCTCCATCCTCGACCTCCCTCGCTAAGGCCTCCGTCCCTTGGGCTGGTCATCTCCAGGTACGCCAATCCCCTTCTCCATTCCTGCTTGTTTCAGACTAAGGTTATATGATGACGTGGAGCATGAGATCAAAGCTTTCCGTCCAAAATTCCATCCTTATAGCGGAGATAAGTTGCTTGCACTGATTCTTTGGAAATCTAAGAATATCAAAGGTGCTCGGAGAGTGAAAATACACAATAGTGGGGCACCAAGGACGCTGATACTTACTCCACTTCTTTAGTTCCTAGGATATAACACTAAGACATTTCGTGGAACACGATAACATAGCGTTGATAATGAAGTATGTTGTGTCTAATTACCCGACATCTCTAGTCTAAACAACTCATTAGCAAGTAGTACAACCCTAGTCTAACAACTCACTATCCTAGTATAGAATGACTGCTACAGTGCTACCACTTTAGCAAGTACAGCCCATCCCTCGTTTCTAGCTTTTCATCCGCTATTAGACCAGAAAGAAAACTTTGGAGCTGCTGCAGTGACTTGTCGTATGACGGCTCAGCAATACAGAACATCTGAAAAATGAGAAATTTAAAAAGAGATCAAAATGTGAAGTAGAGAGAGAAAAAAGGCCATGTTTTGGTCTTACCTTTAAAGTGTTATGTATCCTGTCCAGCGACATACTCCCAAAATTGGTTAGCATTCCGATGATGAATTTCTGCAGGGCATACAACATCCCAATGGTTGAAAAGTGAGCACAAACAAAATGTAAATATATATTTATTCAGTATTTCTTCCTTTCGAGCCATACCTCGTAAACTGTCATTTCTTTCTTAAGTTGATCCTCCACTGAAGCCACAGAGCTTTCACCTTCCTCCTCAGTCATTTGATACTCTGCAAAGCGTTCATTCACAATACTGTTTTTGTTGACATCAGGCATGCTATCCAAACAACATTGAAATACTTTAGTTATTTAACAGTTGTGATGACATATTCAGTAATTAATGAAGCATATGTCTGTTGATTCGACAAGATAGCATGCTAATTGATGCAGAACTGATCTTGCCAATTCTGAAAATGGCTACTTCCATGTTTCTAATTTTTCTTTTCCATTGTGCAAGCTATTCTTATCCTGTTACCTATCTAGCATTTTTTATCATGTTACCTGACTACCACCTGATGCTATCTGAATATGCTGTCGTGTTGAACTAGTTGCTGGAATGTGTTGCTCGTGATGAGGCAAGGCTTTGGTTAAATTTTTATTTCAATTGGATTTCATTGGAGTAAAGGTGCTATCATCGGCATCTGGTCCTGCTGATTCAGTCAGGACCCCCTATATCAAATTACAGAATTATTAAATCTGCTTCTTAAACAGACCGAAGCTAACAATTATGCCAGGAAAAATGATTGTGCAGACATCATGCAGCCTAGGGCATGTATAAGATTGAGAATATCCAGAATTTATTTCCACACATAATGAAATGCAAATTATATAGCTTGTGTACAACTCTAGATCAGTGTGTGAACAACTATCTAGTCCATCAAATTTTAGTCCAAACAGCTAATATAGATTAATATTGATTACACTCCAGTTTCGATGGTCATGTTACCATGATCTGCATAATGACAAGCACATTTCACATAAAAAATAGAAGTAACAATTAGTCACTGATACATGTGTGCCAGACCTTGCTTGTCCAGAAGTTTATTCTTCTGTTAAGAGAATCCATAGGTATGCCAATTTCTATAGCAAGTGTCTTTGAAGTCCAACTGCAAAGTTTGATAGATTAGTCAAAAGAGTACAGATGATACATACAATAATACAGTTCTTTAAATACCTAGTTTTTTCTTGAAATTGCATTATGATTGCAGCATGCACAGGCGCTACAGTAAACTGCATGCTTCTTCCCTCAAATTGCAGTTCTAACTGCAAAAGCAAAGAGAGTGTTATAGCTTATACCCACTTCACATACCAAGATATGTTTTCATAGTACCCATTAACTAAATATGTTTTTCCAACCTTGACTGTTCCAAGATTTTTCTTCCATAATAGCTTTCGTGGAGTTTTTATCTGGTGAAACCGTTTTGCGTAATCAGATAGCAACTGATTGTTATCTGGTGAAACCGTTTTGCTCAAATTACAGTATCTCCTAAAGATTCGACGTTCCATCACGAAAACACTAGTGTTAAATAAACTAAGATATAAACAACAAATGTTGGTGTAGAATTTTTTTGACAGTCAATTATCCAAACAACATTGAAATACTTTAGTTATTTAACAGTTGTGATGACATATTCAGTTATTTCCTTTAGATTCAGATTAACTAACAAATTATAAACCTCATTTAGATTTAGATTACTATTGACATTCAGAGACAGAGAGATCTAGTAGTTACCTATAGCATGTTACATGGACACCTTTCTTAGTAGTTGGATCCCTATTGGATGAACATATATAAGCTATCTTGAGTTTTTTTTGCCTTTGTTTTGCTGCTTCTTTCATCCCTCTGCGTGCAGTGTGTGATCATTTTTTCTACTGTTCTTTGCCATCTTTAGAAAACCTCCTAGTCATTTATGGCCTAATATGTTGGAAACTGGTCTCTCTGCGCATGTGAGCAGCAGCAGCAGCTCACTCACCCTCTCACGGCTCACAATTAGAGGTAGAAGATGAACTTGAGCACAGAATGCAGCACGAACACGCCTCTGCTGGTGCAGCAAACTGAACTGCTTTCCATTGCTAAACAAGTTGATTGATATATATACATCTCTAGACAACTGTAACCACATCTAGTATGCCTGCTACTACTATATCCACTACTAGCTACAGCTGGCCAATATCGGGCTGAGATCAGCCACTACTTACGGCAATACTGCTGCCAGGTTGTTACTGTAGATAGAGAAGACAACAAAGATGACCTATTGCCAACTTTCTGCTGCAGCAAAGGTGGAGTGTGCAGCAGACTACATGAATCCCAAACATGCATTGGTGCATGTTCTAAGTGTAGACGAGCAGTAGAGAACCACCCAAAATGTGCATGTAAATTTAGTTAAGCAATTTAATATCATTAGTTAGGTAAGTTATTAGTAATCTGGTACAAACTGCGTAACTAGATGAAACAAACATTTTTTTCCCTTTCTAAATTTTCCTGCCTGTGTTATCTGGTGTTCCTCAAACCAGTCAAGGTTTCTAGAGCTTCTCTTTCAATGAATAAGCATTGGGATCTGTTGTAGTGCCAAAGTTGCAAGAACTATTTGCAGCGCTTGATCAGTCCTTGCTACTTGATTGATTTAATAGCTATTATTGTTTTGTTACTTCACTGCTCTATTGCTTCTAAAAATTCAGATTAAACCCATTTTCAGTGAACTGCTCATTTCAGTCAACAGTTTATATAGTTTGCTTTGTTCTTCCCCAATAGATAGTTGCAGTTTGCTATTCCTGGCTACATTCTATGGTTGCTGGCTTGCTGCTGTCCTAAACTACAATTCAGTACTACTAACTGTATATTTTTATTTGGTTCAGATTTTCCTCTGTCCAATGTGCAGCTTGGGGGCATAGGACCAGTGGGTCACTTCTGTTTTTTTGGCTATTTTTGCCATCAGCTGCTGCTCTATGTTTACTAAGCAGTTGTTGGTTTTTTTGCCAAATCTCCCCTTCCCTCTCCTCTCCTTTGTTTTGCCGATGATGAAATTATCTAAGTCCATACATTATATGGAATATGAACTGATGATCAAGAACTTGTGAGAAACTTGGCATCATTACTAGCCGCCCCTACATTACCTTCTCATCTCTTCTCTGTTATGATGTCTTGATGCTCCAAGTTAATGATCAAATAATGATATATTTCTGAGGCCTCTACTACTGTTAATACTCGTTTTTTTATATATTGTTGTTTTATAGGACTAGTTTGGTTTATAGACCTTTTTGATTTCTTATACCTTCTCGCGTACCTAAAGCACACTTTCTTGCATCTATTAGAACAAAGCGTGAAATAATATCGCGGACACCAAACAGTGTAGCCCAATGCCCCGAGCATGATGAGCAGCTAACCTATGAGGAGCAAGCACTAGAGTACCAGCTTACTCAGGAGCAGTTCGATAACGAGTTAGAAAATGATCTAGAAGTGATGCTTACTCAGGAGCAGTGTGACGAGGAGGAAGGAGGAGCAGAAGGAAGAGCAGGAGAGGCTGCTGAAGACGAAGAAGAAGAGGATGATGATGATGACTCCGAAGAGGGATATGTAAGTCCCGATAATCCTTTTCCACGTGAAGCCAGAAGGAGGCCAACGGAGAAAGATTTGGACAAGGATTTTGACCTGAACGAGAACATAGGGATAAAGTCATAGCTTGTAAATTTTTCTAAAGCTTTGGTTGTGTTACCTCTGCTAACACTTTGACCTGTCATATATACAGGTCCCTCCTGAAACTCGAAAAAGACGACGTTGATGTCCGCAACATTTCACCGGACAAGATGGAGTAGAGGAAAGGAGAGCAGAGGCAACAGCCACAGAGACGGACATTGAAGCCTCTGCTCCACAACCTCGAGACACAACCACGAGCATGACTACCAAGCCAAAGAGGAATCGAGGGAATAGAAAAGCAAATCAATATCCAGATAAGGCATGCTATGTGATAACGGAGGTCGGGCCAGCAGGGGAGATCCTTGAGCCGAAGGAATTCAGATGATGATTTCGTAATGCGATCGGGGCCCTAGTAAGAGATAAATTGAACCTAGCAATCCCTAACTGGAAAGAGGTATGAGAGAAAAAAATGATAAACTATGGGATAAGCAGTTGAAGCTCAATTTTAGATTTCTAGAGGGTAAGCAAGAACTGATAAAAAAATACTTTCAAGATCATGGGAGAGTCATTTCGACGTTGAAGGTCGGAGCTCAACAAGAAGTATATCCAAAAGGGGTTAACTCCCTTTAATGAGTTTGGCAACATAACTCCTAGTCAATGGGAGGAGCTCGTGGCTCAGAAGACTTCACCAGAGGCATTGGAACTCAGTGTCCGTAACACCGAGCTGGCGAAGAGGAACAAACACCACCATCATCTAGGCCCCGGTGGCTACTATGCTAAGGAAGAACAGTTTAGGAAGATGGACGAAGAGACCGTAGCTTCTGGGGATATCGATGTGAAGAATTTGAAGGTACGCTCAAGGAATTGGATATATGCGAGGAGTACAGAATCATCCGGCGGTAATCTTAAGTTTGATAAGCCGGAGACCCAAGAGGCAGTATCAAGGATACTAAAATATGCTGAAGACAAGGAGAAGGGCTCATTCAATCCTTCCAGAGAGAGAGACGAGCTTAGCCTTGGCTTGGGAAACAACGAGCACACAGGCCGCACCAGGGGGCTAGGGAAAAGGACAACCTGGAAGCATGGATTCGAAGAGGACAGGCATATGTACAAGAAATATGGCATAGATCAGGAGGCTAATCTTGAGCTCCAAGTGAAGGCTCTAGTTGCGAAGGCGCTGGAGGAGTAAGGACTGTCTACGGAGCCATGAATATTAATGACGCCGTCGGGAGAACTGGCATTAGTTGACAGCCGTCCGAAAGTTCCTAGCAGCCAAGGTTCCACTGTAGCCACAACCCCCGTCGATCGTATATGGGAACCAACTAGTTGTACCTTGGTGTTTCTCAGTGGCCGGCAGAACATTATGATGGAGGTGGTAACGGGTGTGGCACATCCTCCCAGTGGCTTACACCACAATAATAAGATACCGTCGGACTACACTAGGGTCGAGGTGCATACCGTGAAACCTGAGTTCATGCAGTGGAAGATAGACTACGCAACTCCCGAGGGACTGGTGTTACTCAGAGACGTAATGGGCAGTTCATCCTCTGGCACAAATGGGACATTATATTGACTGCTTCTTCGCCGCCTCCCCCTCTCTCAAATTTGGAGCAACTTATTGAGGACGGAAAGATATTTTCACCGTCTCATGACCACCACATTCCTAAGATGCCACATTCTTCTCCGCCTCCTAGCGAGCATGTGCCTGATAAGCCACAACCTTCTCCAACTCATACCGAGCAAGTGCATAATGAGACGCCATAGTCTTCTCAACAAGCATAGCCGATACATGAACAACGAGTGCCTCCTGAAGAAGGTGATGCACAAGAAGATGAGGACGTGCCTGAATGAGAACTTCGAAAGAAGCATCCAATCACCATAAGACCAATTTATGTTCCGATGAAAGACGTCTCGTCGGTGCACAAGTGGTATTCCAATGACCAGTTCAAGCCTGAGAACCAAGTTAAAAAAGTCCCATCACAGGCTTCTGAGGAGGCCGTCACTAGCAAACTCCACCAAATAGCAAAACAGTATCCAAATGTTGATGCCATCAAATGGTCAAAGGATTGCTCGAAAACATATGAAAGAGGCAAGCCCTTTCTATCAAACCGGGACATCCAGCGCCTACCACTTGGAATGAGAAGGTTCCATGATTGGTACTTGCGTGTTTTCCTAACGAGCATAGACCTCGTACAAGCATGCTTCCCCACCGAGACATTTGGAAGCCCAGCCGAGAAAATTATCTTTGACTTCAGTGACATACAGACATGCTTTCACCTCGGAGCAATGGAAATAAATCTAATTCGCACGTGGTGCCTGTAAGTCCTTGTCCTCCCGATATGATATGAATGTAATCTTTGAATTTTGTTGTAACTAACCCATGCCGTGATTTGTAGAATTCAAGTGCACATTGTAAAACAAATACCAAGTGTGAAAGCTGGGTATATATACCCTCAAGCTATAGCACAAACAAATTTTAATTACCATAGACAGTGGAAATTGGATGACAAAGAGCTAGCTGCTGGAAAGACCCTTCGGGAGAAAGAGGACATCCGTGCGAAGAAACTAAGACAAGAGTCCCTTAAGGTTTCGGCATACATTGCCCTGGCTTTTAAAAACCTCCAACAACACTCTACTATATGGCTACCATACAACTTCAAGTAAGTTCAACTCTATACTTAAAGCTTTGTTCGATATATTTTATTCGATGCAAAAGAGCTTTTCTGATTCTATGATTAAATCCATGCAACAACCACTGGATTTGTATAGGCGTCGATGTCGGGAGGAGCATGGCATGGGTCTTTGATTCAATAGATAGGGACCCGGTGACATACAAAGACTTCATATCGATTCTCAAGACGTATACATATCG